GTCCTGCCCCATCCCTCACACCCCACACCCCCCAGAGCTGTCACTCAACCTGGCCGCATGATCCCAGGCTTGCCTGCTCCTGACCACTACTCCCCACCTGCCTGCAGCCCCATAGGGAGTTTTGGTGAGCTGTTCTATGATACATGTTAATCTCATCTATTACCCTTTTGTACAATCATTGTAAAATTGTTAGTTTCCCCATCACCTCTGCCATGATAAGGCACTATTATAACAGCTCAAGAACACTACTCTACAGCCATTGCTGACATTGTTTGATTAGGTAAAGAAACTGTTACAAGTCTTTCTTGTCCATTGAGTAAGATAACTTATCCACATTTTTCCTGTTGTCACTGTGAAACATAACACCAAAATATTGGACATCTTTTTACAATACTACACAAAGGTAAGAGGAAACATTGGACCTGTGTGAAGGATTCAGCACAAGATAAGTTTTCAAATAATCAATAAAATAATGGTGTGGGCATGAATGCTACGTGCCCCTGGAGGCTGGAGGGGCACATCAAGCTCCCACAGGTGGCAGCGGCACTGTCAGTGGTGGGAGCATGGCGGAGGCAAGTGGAGGACTGCCGCAGGCAGCTGCAGCACTGTCGGCAGTGGCAAGCTCCAGCAGCAGCCAGCAGTGATCGCAGACCATCCACAGATGCTGCTGGCAGTGTTGGTGACGAGGGGGCGTGTGGCTAGCGGCGACTGCTTGCAAGCACCGCTGACAATGTCAGCAGGGGGTGCACCACCACGCTCAGGGACTGCACATGCAACCGTGTGCATCCCCTATATGTCGCCAATGGGTATGGGAAAGATATGGGAAGGCAAGACAATATGCAACTGCAGCATGGGACTAGCCTGCAACACGGTATCCCAATAGAAATGTGAAGGCTTTCCCAAACAGATCCCTACCCAGCTTTCCCCCCCTCAAAATCTTAACTATTAATTCAACAATAAAAAGTTCCAGAAATAAAGTCACAAGGTTTATTATGATAAATAGGCCTATTATGACACAATGTAGGATATTTCCTCAGCCTAACACGCTGTATTGACTGGGTGTATCATTTCCAAACATTAGGTTACACAGCGTCTTTCACCTTTAGGGTGCTTTTAGACTTGTGAAAGTGCTTTGTTCCTTTACATATGCCTACATATATAGAGAGGGTATTAGTTGTTAGATTTTAAAGGATTGCATACT